CAGCAGAAATAGCAAAGTGATTGGGAAATCAAGACAAATAAAATTAAGTGTATAAACCGTTGTTGGGGATTGTGTCCAGCTTCATTTGGTCAACATCATTAACAATCTGGGGCTGCTGTTTCGGACAGCAATTCTTATTTGGTGGGAGCAAATATTCCTTACTCTGACCTTATATGATCACATAATTATAGTTCTCTCAAAGGCATAAACCTCAATCTGCTCGTTTAAATATGTGTGGAAAGTCTGGTAATTAATAAATTATGACTCGACTGCGGTATTTATGGCGCCAATGCAGATAAGATCTTAAGATCCCCCATAGATTAATGTCGCTCGCTCTCTGTGGATGCCACAGGCCGATTTAGCTGCTAGATTGCGGTTGACTTGGGTGTGGCTAATTAATATGTATCGATAGTATTTGAATTACAACAACAATTAGCATGATTTATCATCAGATATAAAATGTCGGTGAAATGAATCGAAATCTGGTGGGGCGCTTTAAAAAAGTATTCATTAATTGGCCTCTCAACAAGCTGGTGATTATCTACCAATAAAGATGGATGAAAAGGAGTTTCATCTCAAGAGGTGTAGAAATCTATTTTTTTGTTATCTTTTAAATGCTTTTCTTTCTAGAATTTTTTTGGCATAAGTAATGATATGATAGTTTATTTTGCAAAACTAAAATACCGAACTCAAATACCACACAACTAAGCTCAATTTATGATTCTTTCTGAAACATATTTGAATACATTTCTGAGTTTATATATTCAATTTTATAAAAATCATGCTGCCATCCCAGTAAAAACTTAAAAAAAAGATTCAAACATTTTTGGATGCAAATGGTTAAGTTTCCATAAAGTCTCATATAAATTGCAAACTATTTGAGGGCCCGAAAAGTAGTATATTTGGTGGGTGGTATACCCAAACCGTTTTTTAAAAAATGTGATTCTATATAATTCGCGATTTTACACTCTTTTTCTTCGAGAACAACTTAACTTGGGTAAGTTATGCCGGAATGGCCACTTTAAGCACTCAACTTCCCTAGGGGACTTGACCAGACTAACCCAGATTTTGGCCACACAAAAGGCACATTTATAGCACACTCTTGAGCGCCTGGAGCCCGGGGGTCTGGAGGTCTGGCCAACCTTCACACTCACCTCTTGGTCAAGGACGTTGCTCGTGCTCTAGAAGTGCCCCCACTGCCGACGAGCAGATCCAAGTGAATTTTACTCGGCGGGACGGAACTGACAGCTCCTTGTTGTTGGCTTGTTTACGCCACTTGCGGCTGTCAACGCGCAATTTAGAATGGAAACGACTTGAGTTATTTTTACGAGTATTTCCACACTTCCGCCGCTTCCTGGACGACCGCACAGACACTTTTATTAGGTATTTCTGATGACCGAAAGATCAAACAAATCGCAGGCTCTTCACACTAAAAGAATCGATAACGAAACGGATGCATTAGATAATTTAAACCCTTCTCAAAATCCCCCCAGGTATAAAGGTGGAATGGGGACGTGGACGTCACACGCGAAGATTTCGTGGAGCTGATTTTTATGGGATCGGGAATTGAGGATCGAGGCAAACACGCGACGACGATCCTCCAGCAACGACAACTGCTCCAAAACTGACTTGCCCCGTTCGTGCCAATAAAAATTAAAACACTTTTATGCTATTAACGGCAAGAAGGCGAACGCGACGCGATCTCGGACACCTTGGAAATTGAAGTAGAAATGGAGGATGCTGCTTGAGGATCGGAGTTTTATATATGCTATATGGATGGTCAGAAGACTCGTATCCAATCGGTTGATTCGAAAAACACACTTCAAAACAGTAGAATAACGATCTATCGTTGGGAATGTTTATTCCGATTTTCGATCACCAATCGCTGATCACTTATCGAAGGACCACGAACACGTACCGTCTTGTTCAACGTTCCAAAGCGAACTGAAACTGAAAATTTGAAAATGCAAAGGGAGTGATCGTCGCTCTGCGTCGCCGTCGACTGAGGCAGCGGCAGAGAGACGTCGACTGTGGCAGCAACAACTTGTTGTTGCCTTTCTGCAGTTTGTTTTGGTTCTCAGCTGTTGACTTGTTGTTGCTCTTGGGAGAAACGCGACAGCGCAGCAGCCGCATTTTGTCTTCGTTTGCGTTTCTTTTGATTTGACGCGTGAGTAAGCCGCGACGCCCACGTGCAAAATTTGCGTAAACATCGGCAGTGTGGCCAGAGTGCCGGCAAATAATTGAGGAAGTGAGTGGAAAGTGGTAATGGACTTTGCGATATGATAACTTCCTCGGATTTGGAATCAACTTACCAAGGCGTAATCTTGAAATTATTACTCCATAATTATGGCAGGAAATTAAAAGTTTAGACAAAATTACGAGCCTAATGCTGTTTATTTTATAGTTATGACGCTTTTAGCAATCAAATAAGTGTAAACACTTCAATAATCCGAACTGATACAAATTGCTTAATATAGCCGAGGATTTTTGTTTCGATATTTACTCTTAAAAAAGTGTGGCCAGAGTGCCGGCAAATAATTGAGGAAGTGAGTGGAAAATGGTAATGAACTTTGCAATATGATAACTTCCTCGGATTTGGAATCAACTTACCAAGGCGTAATCTGGAAATTATTACCCACTTCATAAGTATGGCAGGAAATTAAAAGTTAACGCAAAATTACCAGCCTAATGCTGTTTATTTTATAGTTATGTCGCTTTTTGCAATCAAATAAGCATAAACACTAAAATAATACGAGCCGATACAAATTGCTTAATATAGTAACGGTTATCTGATATCCGAGGCTTTTTGTTTCGATATTTACTCCTAATAAGTGTGGCCAGAGTGCCGGCAAATAACTGAAGAAGTGAGTGGAAAGTGGTAATGGTCTTTGCGATATGATAACTTCCTCGGATTCGGGAATCAACTTACCAAAGCGTAATCTTGAAATTATTACCCACTTCATAAGTATGGCAGGAAATTAAAAGTTTAGACAAATTCACTAGCCTAATGCTGTTTATTTTATAGCTATGACGCTTATTGTAATCAAATAAAATAATCCGAACTGATACAAATTGCTTAATAAAGTAACGGTTATCTGATAGCCGAGGCTTTTCGTTTCGATATTTACTTTTAAAAAAATATTGGCAAATATAAAATATTTAGATAAATACAAGTTTTAAACATTATATAGCATGGGTAGATCAGTTTTTACTATTTTCTTTTAAATGTTGTCTAAAAGTTGTCAAAAGCCACTTTGGATAATCGCACCTACGTTTGCAATTGTCTTAGTGAAACGCTAAACATAATAATTAAATTATTTTTTTATTGACTCATTAATTTGAGCTGCCCCAATTGTGGGGTGTTTGAGCCATTAAACTGAAATTCAATTCCAAAACATGCTTACATTGTAGTTTGTTTAAGGCTATTAAATCGTTTTCATGTGAACCCTTTTTCGATAATGCGTCCAGCCTTGTTTTCGACCTCCTCCTTAACCATGCCATGTCGATCCTCAGACTAGAAGGGAGACCCGGTGCCAGACTTTTTCTCCTTTGAAATGAAGATCGTAAATAAACGGCACGCTCTGCACAGGCATTTAAAAACAGCCGAACTACTCGTAAAAACTAGACCCCAAAATGATATGCATATGGCACCTATTAATGGCTACTTATGCACAGTACAAGTGTCCCCGATTCGTGGGTCCCCCGTCGCTTTTTTCTGTTGACACGAGACTGATGCGTAACACGACAGTATCCCAAGTATCCCGAGTATCCAAAGTTCCCGAAGGGGGAGTGAGTTGGTGTCGTACTGCCGCGACCTGTTCGTCATTATGTCGCCGTCATGTCAACGGACAGTTGGCCGGAGAGCATTATGCAGATGTGCATACATCATGGACATGCGGTGCGGACACACCCCGAGAGATCGAGATGGTATCCCACATCAACGCTGCATATTTTGCCGCTTTTCGGACAGCGGCGACCACTTGCTGAAATTTCATTATGCGCGTGATTTATAAATAAGCCTCCATCGTCCGAATCCCCTTCAAGTTGTTCGCCGGCTCGTTGTTCCCAGCATCTTCAGTGGTTACGAGGTAAGACGTCCCACGCACTTTTCGACGGCACAACAGCAACATCATTTCATCTCCCCTGTTCAAAATACCCAGCCTTTCATCTTCCCTCCCCCGAGTTGCAGTTCATTCCGTATTAATCATAAAATTGTATTATTAACATGTTTATTTTTCGGTCTTCAAGATTCGATTACACGCATTCTTTCTGCTCTTTATGAGAGGCATTGAGTGTTTTCCCAGCAAACGTGACTTTGTTGTGCAGTGTAACGAAAGTGAGCCACTTTCTAAGACAGTGGATGGGCGGGGGAGTATCTCGGGCATTCAATTGCATTAAAAAATATTGTCATTTTATGTCTCTGCCGGTTAATTGGGTTACCTAGCTAATGACGCCGACCAGACCAGAGGCTTTGCACCTGGGCAATTAGTGGGCGTGGGTTGGATATGGATTGATTGAAGTTAACTGGCCATAAACCAGGAAAGTTGGTCAAGCTGCCTGGGAAATGGTACATATTACAATTTAGTTTTTGGGATTATGCTTATGGAAATTGGCTTTAGATACAAATTCGTAACCATATAAATATTATGCAGAGGTAGTTCCCCTATTTCTTTTTATAAACTGCAAGTCCTCGGAACTTGATTTTATGTAATAAATTCCACCAGATTCACTGTCTTTCCTTCCGATAACAATATAATTAAATGTAGTTAAAGGTCAATTCACAAACTTATCTCAGAAGTAAAACTGGTTAGCCCGCTTATCCAAACTTAATTATTCAATAAAAATATTAAAGAGTCCGTCGACGAGAGACACGAGTGTATAATTAATGTGCAGGGCTCAAGCCATAAAGCTATTGATTAACGCCAACTTAACAAAAAACTCAACATAAACAACATCAACATTTTGGGCCCTACCCAGTCCAAAATCAGAATTCGATCGGCTGTCTTGGTATTTTCTATAATTTTTAAGATATTTTTATTTCGATTTCGTTTATAATTATTTGTTATGAATAAATTATTTTAAATTAAGCAATAATCCGACGAACTAGTGTAAATCTAATAGTGAGCGGTATTACATCTTAAGCGTATTTCCTATGCGATAGCTTTGACTTCCAAACATTTAATGGTCCAAAACAAAGCGATTTAAAATCGAAATTTGTATCTTTCCTGCTTCGGCGTTTGTTGTCTTGAAAACATTTTAATTTGTAACTAGCTAAATGCAAATGCGAAAAGAATTTATGATGAAAATTCCGAACTAAGCTGGTTAGCAAATTAAATGCCCTTTGTTCCAAGCCGACTTCTCCAGATGAACAGTAGCAGATCGCTTAATTGATCCAGTTGCTCTCGCAGCTCTATATGTTATTGTTTACTTAACCACACTGGTCATTTCGATGGAGTCGCCACAACTGAAAGTATATATTTATTTAGACTTGGCTCTTGCTGATGCCCTGATGAGTTGACATTAAATGAAGTGCGGCTGTGGTAATGGCTTTTAGAGTGGATCTCTTGTGGGTGAGCTTTGGGGATATGGAAATGATGTAATCCTGCATTAACCCAAATAGACATAGGTTTGGTTTGGCTTGCAATTTAAGGGGTTTCAAGGGGTTGCATAATCAGGGCGTGAGTAACACATTTTAAAATAAGGCTTGCTTTCTTATCATATGTATGATAATTTAATAATTGGTAAGTTTTTTGGTTGGTCATTGGTTTGGTCATTTAAAATAAATTCCTTCTTAAATTCTTTGGAAAATTTCCAACATTTTTAAAATAAGGTACACATGCAAATTTTTTTTTTAACTAAGGGGAACCTTGAAAATAATAAAACAATGTTACATTAATTATTTAAAAGCATGCACTTTGCATTTTTGCTTCGAACTAGATTGAACATTTAAACCGCAACATAAACCCCAACATTTTATGGCGAAACTCGAAAGGAAAAGTGATTTTTTAGGAGCTGCTGTAAATCACTTAAATAAAGGATGGGCTTGTGAGGATGTCAAGAAGGTAGGAAAGGGTGTAGAGACCGAAATTACTTCTGGCGGAACCTAGATGGATCCTGGCACCTGATGGTGACCGCACTGAGGCTGGAATCGTCGTTGGCCTCGTCGTCACTGGCCAGCGGGGCAATGGATACTGCTCGGGGCGCGGCGACCCCAATTTCCGCTGGTGCAGCAGATCCATTGGAGTTGGCAGTGCCCTTCAGACCCACAACGTTGGCCAACTTTGTGGTGGCCGCCACTGCGGCTGCCACCGCTTGACCCTTTCCATTGAGCAGCGAATTGTTGGTCAGCTGCTTCTGCATCAGCTGATTGGATGAGTCCAGGCGATTGGACAGCGATGTGTGCCTGTTGTTCACGGACTGCAATAGAAAAAAGGATTATAAGGAAAAATCACTCCAAAGTCTTGATTTTGAAGACCTAGCCCCAAAACTTGCAATGTTTTATAGGGTCTAATAAAAAGCAATTATTTTTAAAGCCGTTAAATATTACTTTAAGTATGGCCAAAATGATCTAAACTATAGAATCTCTAATTGGTTAATACCAAAAGATTACAGTTAAAGTGGAAAAGTATTTATTTAAATGTTGAAGAATGTTATTTAAAAAGTGGTATTCAAAAATTATGAAAGAATTTGTTCTAAAAACGTTCTTTTACAACCATGTTTTTTATCCGCTCTGGAAATATATAGCAATACCCACCGGATTATTGTTGTTCATGCGCCCACGAATGTTGTAGAGTCCGTAGACCAAAGGATTCATGCAGGAGTTTGTCGAGGCGAAGATGAACAATGCTTTCCGGACCAGGGGATTGATCTTGTCCGCGGAGTGCTTGTCCATCCAGTACCACATGGAGATGGTGTAGTACGGGGTCCAACAAATGATAAACACGATCACAATGGAGATCGTCATCTTGAGGGTCCGCTTCTTGGCCCTGCTGAGAACATCGTCATTGGAGCGCCGGAAACGCTCGGCGATCACGTCCTTCAGAACGCGCTGGCTCTTCCGGTAGATTTTCAGGTATATGGCTCCGTAGCAGTAGATGAACATAATCAGGGGAAAGGCGTACATGCTGCACATCGAGGCCGCCTGATAGAGCTTCTCTTCAAAGTCGCTCCTGAACGAGTGGAAGATGACGCATTGAAAGTAGCCTTTAACTTTGGGATGCTCCTCCAGGTGGAAGAGAAAGGCCTGCCGGAGATGCATGGTAATTAAGTTGTCTTGCAGAAGCACTTGGAAAAAAATCGTATGATTAATGGATGATTTAATATGATCCTCCCATTCAATCCTATTAGGACAGAAGAACAGTCAGATCCTTCCTAGTAACTAGCGCGTTCTAGTTACACATTTCGTGTGGTAACAGACTTTTTAAAGATTTCACGTTCGTAAAGTTAACATGACATTGAGAAAACGATTTTGTCCTTACGATTAATTTAACTTCTTGTTAACTTTCCCGTACAGATAACAAACTGGAAACCTAGCACGGAATTGAGAAATCGCAAAAATTTTATTTGAACAATATAGAACCTCGTTGGAGCATTTATTTGGTGTTACGAAATAAAAGTATTTCTGTGTTCTAATAACCTTAGGGTGTTTTTTTCCGGGTGTAGCACTGGACTTGGACTCACCTGGGGAATGCTGCACACGACAGAGCCCAGCCAGGCACAGGCTAACATGATGCGTCCCCGATTGTAGGACCGCTTCAGTGGCTTCAGGATGGCAAAGTATCTGATGGAGACAAGGGGAACCAAAACAAGTGGTGAGAAAGCCGTCAGCCATCAATTGACACATTGAGCCGCCTTATCTGGCTATCAATTTGGTCCATTAGCGACACTCAACGGATCTGCGGACTCACCTGTCTAGCGATATGCAAACCATCACGTAGCTGGACAAGTACAGACCGAAAACGCGGAAGAAGCTCATTAGGCGACACATCAGATCGGTGGAGAGCCACTGAACCGTCCAGGCCCAAAAAATTTCCATTGGCATCAGGAGCAACGTCACCATGAGGTCTGCGATGGCCAGATGCATTAGCATCACATCAATCCGCAATGGGCCTCGTAGACGCCGCTTGGTCAGCAGATATAGCACGGTGCTATTGCCAATTGTTGAGATCACAAACAGTATGCTGAACCATATAAAAGACTGTATAAGAAACGGAACGGGGAGAGGGAGTAGGGGCGATGGTGTGGGAGACGGTTCTGAAGCGATCAAATTGGTGAGTGGGAATTTAAAGAAGTTTTCCCTGAGGTGGGTGCGGGCGTGGGTGTCGTATGCTAGAGAAGTGGGTCAACGAATTGCAGTTAGGAAAGGTAACTTGTTGGGCAAACAAATATCAGTCGTAGACGATCTGCCAATACAATTAATGTCTTTTTCAAGTCAGTTAATTACGAGATTAGTTTTACTTAGAAAAAACTTATACACTCAGAGATAAACAGAGATAAGTTTAACATTCTCAATATAAGTACTTTCGATCTCAAAAGTGTGCTAAGATTGACTCACACTTATATTCTCGAAACCGAGATCGAAGCCTTTTCGATTTTGCTTTTGAGATTGTGGACTCTTGTTATGGAGTTGAAGTTTTGTCGGATTCAACATGAATTGTTCGCGATTTCGAGATAAAAGAGGCTATTCCACCAGTTGAGATTCATCATGGAACTACATTTATAACTCCTCCATGTATATCAACTAAATAATGAAATGAAAGCTGTATATAATATACAAAGCTTTAATAAATTTAGCATTTTTTTTTGAGAATAAAACGTGGGAGCGGGTGCTTGAAATCGAGAAGAGTCTACTCTCAATATAGAAATGACTTATGCTTGAATCCGAGGACGATTCATCTCGAAATCGAGATCAATTCGATGTCGAAACCATATCGAGAACACAAAATCTCAAAATCCATTCGTAAACCGAGGAGACTTGGATCTCGGTTTCAAGAACTTTAGTATGAGTCGATCTTGGATTACTTTTAAGATCGAAAATACGTATACTGAGAACGTTGAGAACGGTTTTTTCTTTGAGTGTACAATAAGCCGTCCCTATATAAAATCGAGCTAGTCTTAATCACGGATATAATAAAATATTGTATTTATTATGCATTCTGTGCTAAATAAATCACTTTCTACGCCTTGTCTATCTCTCGACTCGCTCTTAATCGATTAGTCGAATCTCTGGCATTCAGAAAAAGTGAACCCTGCAATGAACCGCACAGTTCAAATTCCAAGTGAAAATGATTGAATCTCAGACAGAAAGCCAGACAGCGGAGGAGAAACCAAAGATGATGAGCCCAGTATGATTTATATGAATGCATAACAAGAATAAACGGCTGAATACAGATTCAAGCAGCGACACCCACACCTGCACATCGATTGATAGGTTTAGACTTGGAAAAGTGTTACAGATAGTAAAAGTCAAAGTTGATAAACTTTGACTGTAAAGTCTGAATAATATTCAAATAAAAACGTGGGAGGTGATCTAGGCGATAAGGTTATAAAATGGGTTTGGGGTGTATTGGTCGGATTTCCACTCACCTGTAGACTGTGATGGACAATCGATGGCCATCATTAAAAACCATATCCTTTGTCAGGTGAATTGTGCCATTCGTATCGTTCACATTTAGCCAATTACTAAGACTGCGATGATCATTCTCTTCGAGAACTTCCCCCATTTTTAAAACAGGTGAATCAATTATGTGTTTCTCAATTTTGGCTTAAGGATTTGCGTTACACGATATCTTCTTTTATTCTAAAGTAGAAAAAAGAAACACTTTCTTTATTTATGCCTTTAATAAATGTATAAGCACCATTTAACTTATGATTTTTATTAAGTTATCTAAGTTATTCCTTCTGATATTTAAAAAATTACACAAATTTATTTTACGTCGAACTTATCTATTTTACCTACATATCCATAAACTTTGCATTATTGGCAGAACATTTGGGGCTTGGGGGCCTGTCAATTATTTGCGAAACTTTTATATTATATTCGTCGGCACTCTTGAGGTAATCCAACAATGAAAAACACAAACAGAATCCCTATCTTTTCATGGCAGACACTCACTCAATTAACCGAATCAATTACACTCAATTTGATAATGAACACTTTTTCGATTCCTTGGGGTTTTTCGGTTCAAGAACATGTTTATTATGTTATTGTTATGATTTTGTACGTTTTGTTTGCCGCCCCGATTTTTATGTGCTTTAGGGTGTGGTGACCTTGAACTAGTTACTCTCGCCTAATTGATTATAAAAATTCCACTTATGCTGAGTTCTCCGGCTCTGTGCATTTTCTAGACTTGATATAACTATAATAATCATAATAGAGAGCATCTTGCGCTCTCCCTGGCTGATTAATCTGTTAATCAATTGCGCTCAATCGAACAGAAAGTTCACTCAATTGAACGGAAAATAGTAACAACAAACTCCGACAAATTGGTCTCACATTAATCCTTCAGTCGAATTATTTTACGGGTTGTTTGTTTAGACGCGCCGCGTTTGATGCCCTTTGAACTTGGCGTTTTAATGTGCTCAAACAAATGTTGTACCAAACAAAAGAGAAAACAAATAAAGCGAAATGTGCTTCCAAAATAAATTTAAAACCTTGAAAACACTAAGGTGTTCTATTAGATTTCTTGATGATTAAACGGTTAACCTCGTTGCACCTCGCAGAATCGCTAGTTTACCTAAGCGATTGCTGGAACCCCTCGAAGATTACAGAAAGATTCAACTAGTTTCCTCTGGCTAATCGATCGACTCGTATATATACTTATTGTAGGCGTAATCTTTGATTACGAGAACGCGTACGTGATGTATAATTTCATTTCTTCTATATACAACTATATTTTTTTACTTCGTTCTGTTTTTCTTCCATTTGTGATTTCCGTTTTGATTTGCTTTTTCTAAACACGCGGCCACACCGTGAACTGACGTATACTATATAGATATGGTAGATTTAAGACTGCGTTTCCAAATATCGTTAGGAATTTATAACTATTTTCACACACCTCCCAGAATCGAAATACACCGTTCTCACTGCCAAACTCCCACGCCCACACGCGCGTAATTATCACTGTTGATAATACGAAAGCTTCTTTAAGGCCCTCGGGACTAACGGTACTTCAGGTACACACCGATCGACGAGCAGGAACTGACTGAACGTACCGACTGCCTGGGATGCTGATACCGCGAAATCGAGATCTCGACAACAACTGATAAGAGGAGGCAAGTAGGAACTTTAAGAGTCCCGACCAAAGAATACCTGGTTTAAGTTTACACCAATTATTAGAAACTGGAATTTAATTTACCTGTATGTTGTTCCTGTGATCCTAAAACTCGTTCAAAGGATATGAAATCTGGGATGTGGGTGGAAAATTCAAGAACTAAGAATTCGTCTTTAGGTCAGAAATACCAACCTTCTTTGCTTCCTGAGATATCAAGCTTTATACATATAAGACGGACCACCTGGTTATACCTTCTTTTCCAAAATAACAGTATACCCTTACTTTCGAGTACCGGGTAGAAAAAGTTAGATGATAACAGCGGGCGACCCCAATAGCCAGTGATTCTACACACACATATGTGCGTTTTCAGGTCCCGCCCGCATAAATTTCACGATTATCAATGCGTGTACGAGACTCAAAGTTCAAACGGTAGTCCGTCTGATCGCCAAATGTTGGGATCCCTTATCAAACGTATGAGTCGCGTTTTACCCCAGAACAAGTAATCAAAAGGAATTACTTATAGGCCTTATCGTCGATGGGACTCCGTTAGCTGCGCAATACACTCGATTATCCTTTATTCCGGATGGCGCAGCACATCCGATCCCGTCGAGCTTACACTGGCATCTGCCGCAAGTCCATTGCCAAGGCTCGCAATTTAACCTCACGATACGCAATTCGACAAAACGCTTCATTAAAGTTAATGAGGCCATGAGAGCGGACAAAAGGATTTCAAGTTCACGTTCAGGCGCGCACTGTTGTATGCTACGAATGTGGCGTGTGCGCGGTCTTATCAAGATGCACCTGCCCCGCCTGATAAGACGACAGCCGGCCGGCCCTAATGAGCGGTCAGCTAGCATGTGCATTTACTATTGAAAACTGCACATTTAGGAGCGACGATTAATTTGTAATTTTGTTTTTCCTTGAAAGTGGCTTGCATTTAATGCCGAAAATTATGCAGCGTTTATGTTTCTAATTTAAACTTTTTAGCTGTCGCGAAAAGATATCTTTTTAGTAAATTAGTATAAGTAAGGCAAGGATGTAATGATAATTTTTTATATTAATACTACGAAAGGATTCTTCTGAAGTCAACAAATTAAGAGAATAAATGTATCAGTTGATGCAACGTTGGCCATTATCAAATTATCCATTTGACTACTGCATACAGTTCGCTGTACCCATAAGGTATGTAGATAGAAAATAAAAATATGACACCAGAAAAGAATAAACAATATTGCGTTCATACCTTTCCTAAAATCCCTTACTATATATTCGTAAGTATAATTGAATTTGTCATACATTTTTAGTAAAATATATTGTTATAGCTAATATAAAATCAATATTACTGCTTTAACATAAAAAAATTTGTAAAGCATATTTTAATTCAATCGAATTTAAATTAACATTTTTTGATTCTGTTGAACGTCAATACTCGAAAAACGAATTTTCAAAAAAAAAATACTTTAACGTTCAACCTACCACCGGTTGGTATTTTTTGTGTATGCTTGGGAAGGTAATTCTCAAATCACCGGCAACGGTCACACCGCTCAGCCCAAACAGTGTTGTAACTTTGGGGTAAAAAAACTGTTTTTGGCGTTGCAATGAAAAATAAAATGTAAACAATAGTCGAGATATATTTTCTTACTAAATTTAATGACAACAAAGCTGTTATTTTCAAAAAAACAGATGATAAACGGGCGCTTGAGTTCCGTATTCAGGACTTAAAGTTTATGAAAAAAAAGCTGAAATTCCCACAACTCAGTTAAAAAAGCTAAATCTGACGGGAAAAGGCGGGTTTGACAACACTGTGCCCATGTGGTAAACTGAATCTTTCACTTTCAAATTATAAATGAAACTCTAGTGAAATGCTGCGAAAATCAAAGAAACAGCCCCAAACGGTGGCCGAAAAGGTCAGCAAACTCCTTGCCCATCCGAACGAGAGCGACAGCGCCGAGGACTCGGACTTCGACGTGACCACCGGGCCCCGTCTGGTGGACTTCGAGGAGGAGGAATACGACCTTCCGGACGCGCGGAGCACCGACTTCAGGAAGAGAAATGTAAAGCTGCTCTCGGAGCAGAGTGATCGCTACAAGGGCAAGATCAGCAGCCGCAAGGAGCTTGATGACGAGGATGAGGACCAGGAGTTGTCCTATGAGGAAAGCGACGAGGATGAAGATGATGGGGGTTTGGCAGACTTTAAACAGAAGCTAAAGGCTGGAGAAGCTGAAGATTCAGAGGAGGAAGACCTTGGAGGTTCGGAATCCGGTCAAAATGGGGATGAGCCAGACTTCAATAAGAAATTATTGGCTGGACATTTTGATGATGAAGAGGTGGATGATGACTCTGATTCTGATGATTCCGCTGAGGACAACAGCCAAGAAAGTGAAGAAGAGGACGACGATGACGATGAAGATGACGATACCGGCGATGAAGATGCAGAGGAAGGCACCATCAAACCCTCGGATGTGATGTCGAAAACCAACCACCAGGCTGAAATCCAAAAAGGACTCTGCGTCCAAAACCAACTTCGCGTCTGGGAGCGACTCCTTGAGCTAAGGATCAACACGCAGAAGTTTACAAGCAAAGCGAACCAGTTGCCTGCTCCGGAGACACTAGTGAAACTAGGATCCGAGAGTGATGAGCTCCAATCGGTGCTTAAGGAGGCGCAGGAACGCTCCTCCAAGCTGTTGCAGCAATTGCTGGCTCTCCAGTCGGCTCTTCACCAGCAAAACTCGGAGTTGAGGAAGGCGGTGAAGCGTAAGCAGCCTTCTGAGGATTCGGGTCCAGCCGCCAAAAAGTTTGGCTCTGTGCTGCACAACAACTTCCAGCAGATGACGGGATATCGCAATGAAGTCCTGCTAAAGTGGGACGATCGCACCAAGCTCCTGACTCCCGGAGCCGGTGTTAAACGCAAGTCAGTGCAGGAGGATTACGACATCATCAAGAAGATCGACAGCGCTCTGGCCAACCGGGAAGCGCTTGTGGAGAAGTCGCAGACGCCAAAGAGCAATCAGGCGGATCAGCAGGAAAACGAGCCGGTGCAGCGGGTAAAGCACATCTACGACGATAGCGATTTCTATCACCAGCAGCTTCGCGAGCTCATCGAGTACAAGGCCAGCACCTCCTCTAACATGAGTGAGATCACCAAGCAGTTCGTGGAGCTTCAGAAGCTGCGCCAGAAGATGAAAAAGAAGGTGGACACCAGGGCCAGCAAGGGGCGAAAGCTGCGGTAATTAAGCGAAGTAAAGTTAGTAATGTCTTACTTATAAAATATTAAACATAATTTCAGATACGTGGTGCACAACAAACTCATCAACTTTATGGCGCCCAACGAAAATAGCGAATGGACGGAGAGCTCCAAGTCCGAGTTGTATAAATCGTTGTTCGTCTAGAAAACATCTAAATGTAAAACTATAATATATGGTATATGAAGTTTTAAATAAGAATAAAACCTATAAAATGTCATAAAAGCTGTTAAATTGTCATTTTAGCCAATCGTCCTTAGACGAATTAGAATATTACCCCTATTGCTTAAAATAATACGTTATATTATCTACTAAAAATAAAAGAATATTGATGTTGAATTTGACTTTATTTTATATATTTATTTATTTATGTATATTTTCATTTGTTGTTTACTTTTAACTGCTAAATTTGTATGTTCAACATTTCATTTTCGTTATTAATTCTTATTTGTTCTCAACTGGGTTATTTATGCAGCGAGTGCATAACAATATGGCTTGAATATAACCGCAAACGTTCGAAATTACCGCTTCATAACCGTTTCGTTTAGTGGGTGTTTGTGTTTCGGAGATTGTGTACTGTTATGTATTATTTGCTGGCTTCATTCGAGTTGCGTTTTTAATTCGATTCGATAAATATAAATTAATTTTAATAATTTGTTAATGTATTATACTAGTTGTCCACTGATGCACATACTTGACTGGTTTTCTTTAAATTTACTTTGCTAGTCTCGTGTTTTACTTGGACTTCGTTCCACTTATAAAATTTTCTCTTCGTTTATTAATTTTAGCTTTATATTCCATATTGGTTTCTTAGTGTGTTCGTCGTCTAAGTCATTGTTAGTTATGCATACGTTAATTTTTATATTTATAAATATCATATATATTAGTAAATCAGTGCATAACTGCAAAACGGGAGTCTTGTGAGGTGACTGTGAAATCGAATGGGTTGGAAATACAATTCAATAAATAAACATTTAAATTTTAATCCTAAGATTTAGAGAATACAAAAGGTTTCTTCTAAAAATACTATAAAAAGTCGAGCACATTTACAAAATAATCTTTGTGACACTTGTTCAATAGAAATGCTTGGATTTTTCTTTGGGAAATGAGTTTCGGGGAGTATTCGTTAGCAAGCTCTCATTAAAAATTAATTAACAATCAGCTGAAAGTGTATAGAGCACATAATATCATTATTACATTTAAATACTAGAGATAAATGTATATTGCACTTGAATGCGCACGAGAATCAATCATTTAAGACCTACATAAGTGCCACAAGGACGCGAACAATTTTGACGAAAATACTGGGCATAGGTTTATTCTGTTTTCAATTCGAAGTTACCAAAAGAGGCTACGATACACACAAATATTGGCCTAAAATTAGGGGGATGGGGAGGATTGAGGGAGTACGCGGGTTCTCTCCTAGCGCTGTCCTTGTATACAAACTACCAATATAAAGATTACAAAAATGCCACTGACTAAATTCTCTCTCTCGTCGCCTTCCTCTTGGATTTTCTCTAATTGTTAATGGAATTCTTCAGCAACAGGGGCAGCCCGGTTTTGGTTTTTGATTTGGATACGAGTATGGTGGCTGTTTTGGCCCCACCAGACCCGGATGCAGCCGCAGCTGCAGCAGCTGCTTCAGCGGAGGCAGAGTTGCGCCTGGGAGCCGCCTGTCGCTGATGGAGCTCCTGGAGCAAGGCCGAGTGTTTGTCCATGGCCTTCAGCTGGGCCGTGTTCTGGGTCTCATAAAGCGACGACTGCAGCTGGGTGTGGATCGAGGTGACGTTGGAGAGCGTGCTCTCTGCCTCGGCCGTTGGAAAGTTGCTTAAATATCGTTTACTAGTCGTGCTTCCTGTTGTTGTCGATGATGTCGTTGTAGTGTTGATCATTGTAGTCTGTTCCTGCGCTGAAACCTGGAAGGGAGATTAATTAACTTGACTATTAGCGAAGGAAATGTATGCCAAACCTTTCGAATAACCGCTAACTCTGTGTCTCAAGTGCACTTGGCTAGTTGTATAACACCCTCCATATCCTTCTGCACCCCATATAGCTCCGAAAGTTGTTTGGCAAACACAACGTTTAACTCGCTTAACTTGGCAAGCTGTAAATGTGGTAAATCAATTAGTTCCCGAAAAGTAAATCAATTAAGCCATGGTATGAGTTTACTTACCGTCTGATCATTGGACTTTTCGCGTAGGCTTAGGTTGGCCGACTTAAGCTCAATTTCCTGTTGCAAGAGTTCCTTCTGCAGTTGTTCCGTTCGCGCCTTAAGCGTGGCCACCTCGCGACGTAACTCGTCTTCCGCGGCACCTCCTCCGGTTGCAGGGACACCACCTCCGCCCGCGCAAAGCTGTTCCATATCCCGCTTTAGGCGAATATTCTCCTCCTTGTAAGTGTGCAGCTGGCGCTTCCACTCGTCTACATTGGCAGTTGATTCCTTTAGAATAAAAAGAAAGGCGTTTTTAGTTTAAGTAATATATGAGATAAGAAAAATAAACTCTGTGATTAGTTAAATACAATTAGCTCACCTGAAGAGCACTGGTCAAGCGAATGTTGTTGTTCTTCAAGGTAGCCAGCTCGATTTCCCACTTCTTGGCATTGGCGCAGCTGAAAAGAAGCCAGAGAATGATACCTCAATCCAAGGATAGTTAATCAGTCCATTACCTTTGTGCCAGGGCCATTTTCAGGCGTTCGTTCTCATACTTAAGCTGCTGCTCGGCGGTGGCGCCCGCTCCCGGTCCCGTGTGCATGCCCACAATGCTTCCGCCAGACGAGATGGTCACTCCCCCGCCGCCACCAACTGCAGTTCCCCCCGAAGTGGGCTGCGGCGAGGGTGTGGCCGATCCGATGTCCGGCTTGACATCGCTGGTGTTCAGCAGCTTGTGGGAGGGACTGTCCGGATTGGCGTTCTGGGTATTCGTGTTGCTCATGTTGGGCGGCTCCACGGTGTGCGGATCGATGGCTGTGTTGTCGTTCTGCATGGAGCCCACAGCTCGCCCGGAAATGGGCGACGTGTTGGCCGAGGTGGTGGGTGTAACGGCATTCGAGCCGTTAGCGGATTTCATGGCATTCTTGGTGGCCTCCTTGACTTCCTGGAACTTTTCCACGAACTGTGAAGGAAAGGGGATTTAGTTAGAGAAAATACAAGACACTGATAGGCAATCCACCTTTGTCAATTCCGCCTCGGAGGCAAATCCCAAGCCGTACACCGTGTTCGCCCGCACATCGCTCCACTGACCGAACTTCTGGGAGGTCTGGGTGAAGGTCATGTTGGGCGTGATCGTCGAGTTTATTACCGCCTTGGTGCCCTCGACGCTGATGATGCGGTACAGATTCCTCGAGCTGTCATAGAAGAAACTCACGTTGACCGCCTTCATGCTGGCCGTGATCCAGGTGCGCTTCGTCTTCGGGTCGATGTGGAAGACGTGCGCCTGGCAGGTGAAAATTGGTTGTTCGCTGTGGGCCATAAAGGGATTAGCATGGCAGGGGTGTGATTAATTAAAAATTCCATTTCAAGTGGGTTATAAATGGTGGCCTTGTGTGGGCTTATTAGAAAACTGTTCGAAAGAGTACAAGATTTCGGAGTAACTACCAATGACGATTTTTTAATTTTGTATCTTATGGATCTTTTGAATCTTATTTTGTTCAATCGCCAAATTAAGTTTAACACTGAAGAATTCCTATTTCGTTCCTATTTTGTTAAGGTTTTATAATGTTTTGTCTTGCTTCTGAGAAGTCGTGAATGATTTGTTAGGTTTGATATATATCGAACTTGAACTCAAGAATTCGCGGTACTATGTAAACTGGGGTCTATTCTGGTGCCTCTTGCTTTGATTGTAATTGATTTGTTGTGCGCTCTACCAAACTCCGGGGAGGTCTCCGTCTCCAGGGCCAACCCTATATGAAGTCTTATCTATTACCTATCCGCCGACATCGTCCGCTGAGCTCTAGTGTCTTTCCGTTATCGCTGGCGACTGGCGACCGCCGACTAAATTGCATTATGTGCTAAGCCTTTTCGACAGCCTTGCTTTTGATTTTTTGATTCTCGGGCGGAAAACACACGCACACCTGCACATCCGCACACACCTGCACACCCACATAATTGGCCTGCCCACGCGTGTGTATGTATGTTTGTGTACATATTTACGCCGCCCGCTACACACAGAACGCCAGCAACAACAACAACAACATGGGGAGAGATGTCAGCTAGTACGGCGTCGATTTGTCCCACAGTAAAAACTGATTTTCGAGGCGGTACCACCACGCCCACCGTCCTTACCCCATTGTATTCGTTCGCTGCTGTTTTCGGCGCTCGCTGAGTGTTTCGGCAACGGTTTAAACCTATGATAGTGGCCTTTACTGATTAATTTCACTATTAAAAAAAATAAAACACAACGCCTAGAGCTGGAACAAAAATCGATTTTAGGACTATCGATGTTCGGCTATTCACTTGACGAAGTCAAAGTAATCGAATGGATTAATCGTTCGTTTTTTATAATAATAATAATAATTACTGTTTTGAAGTGCATTATAGTCGGATTATAAGCAAAACAAAACTATATATCATTGCCTACTTTATAAACAAGTTACACATTCGATTCTCCATTGCATTTCTTGAAAACGTTTCTTGTTCCAGTCCCAGTAAATTTCATATATTTTCCTCTTTCTAAGCCTCCATGGAATGCTCTAGTGTATGAGCCGAACAATGACGTGAAATAACCGCATTAGCTTTGAAAGTTTCTGCACTTTTTTTGATTTTGAAAATGTGCGCCAAAATTGTTTGTAAAATCACTGTTAAAATGTTATCATGTTATTTACATTACAGCGCTGCCACCCCTCGCGTATCTTTACCCAGGGTGGCAGCTTTCGATCTTGGTACGATTTATGAGCTGATCAAAATGTTGTGTCCTTGCAATAATAAATTCCCTAGGTTTTTCCCCAAACCTTAGAGGTCCTTTTTCAGTCTTTTATTTTAACACAATTTATATTATCACGCAACTTGTTCACAATTTTATCCGTTTTGCTAATCGATGTTTTATCCAACCTATCGATAAGCCTCTGCTTCTTCTTCGATTTCATGAGGCGTTATTTATCCAACCTATCGATACGTTCGTATTGTAAAAAAACCTCTTTGGAATTTGGTTTATTTAATTAAAAACTGCCGGGAGACCTATGCGAAGGGCAAATCGCGGCCAGAGTTGTTGTTGCTGCTGCTGCCCAGCCGCCGTGCGATCGATCGGGGTACGTTTTCCGCCGAATTTGGGAGTGGGGAGCGATTTTCTCGCAGGTTTTTTTTCCTTCGCCCAAATGCCGTCCCCCAAAACGGAATTTTGAGGTGAAAAAGTGATTTAAATGCATGGAAAATAGCTGCAAACGTGCATCTGCTGCGAGTTTAGCCCTGTTTCGGGCATTTGCGGTTGCAAAATGTGACGGCGACACACCTAGGCACAAAAAATATGCCAGTTATGCGAAAGAGAAAAAGTGCTGTGCCAGTGTGCGTGCGCGTGTGAGTGTGTATGCCGTGCATGTGCCTGTGTGCGTGTGTGTGTTGGTGTAGAAAACTTGTTATCAATGCGGCGCCTATGATAAGTCTCATTAGACATGTTTCTCCCACTATGCTCGGCATTCCAATTGCCGGACTCCACGGGCACACATACTCACATTCGGATGAAATGTACATTCTCTGGACCAGGGTGTTCCATCGGAAAATGATGTTACTTGAAAAGCACAGGCATTTCAGTCAGATTCTAAAACATTTCACCCACTCAAAAAACAGATGGTAACAGAAGGTATCCTATAAGAAAAAGTTAATTCTACAAAAAAATATAACAAATTTATGTTCAAAAAGAGTCAATGGCACATTCATCTTCAGTATATTTTATATGCGGAATCAGCAACAAAGAGTATACCGTTCCGAGCATGTTCAATATATTGTATAGCCCGTTAGTACTAGGTATTTTTTGTACAAAGGATCTGTCCAATAAGAAAATAAGAAACTTTCTTACTTTTGGTTATCATTGCACTTTTGGCTCACTTAAAAGTGTATTTTATATGTAAGTTTTGGATGGATTATGGGTTTGGTGTTGCGGAACACTCTTAAGATGACATATTGTGCAATCCCGCTATAACCCCTTTATTTTCCTCTTTCTCTCGAACAGTCTGGCGGCCCCAACTAAATAATGTGGAACATGATGTGCGACGTAATGCCCACGATATCGGAGGATAGCATCTCGCAGCGCTCCTCGCAGTTCAGCGGGGAGGACGCCAACTTCGAGCAGTTGATGGTCTCCATGCTGGACGAGCGGGACAAGCTGATGGACAGCCTGAGGGAGGCGCAGGAGCGGCTAGGCGAGACGGAGAACAAGCTGCGCGACGTCGAGAAGGAGCGGGACAGTCTGCAGCGCCAGATCAACGCCAATCTGCCGCAGGTAAAGAGGTTCAACATATGTGCTATTCGGTTTACTAACCATCCGATCCCAATCCCCCCAGGAGTTCGCCACCCTCACTAAGGAGCTGACGCAGGCGCGGGAAACCCTTTTGGAGCGGGACGAGGAGATCGGGGAGCTAAAGGCGGAGCGAAATAATACCAGGGTAAGGCAATAAATTTACTTGTCAACAAGTGGATTTACTATTCAAACATCAAAAAGTCGTATACTCACTAATAAAATTAGTCATGCTATAGCTAGAAACACTTGTCCGTACTATCTTCTACTAAAGTTAAATATTCTTTAAAGTGATTCTTACCTGGGTTGTCTGTTTAAATATTTTGTTTATACAAGTGACCATACAAATGTTTAATAAGTTCATCCACAAACTGATGTCAGCATTAGGATCCATAGTAATTTGTGTGCAAAAAAAAAGTAGGTGTGACAAGCAATATAATATATGTAGAGATAGGCTTCCATTGACTTCCGTAAATGTGTTAATTGATTATTAAATGATACAGTTGCATTAAGATACATTAAGATTACTGAGACACACGCGACCTTCCTCTGCTGATGCTTAATCTCTACTCGTCCTGCGCATTTTTCACGCTTTTTCACACAACAGAAAAATGTTAATATGTGTTAAGCTAAAACAACATTTCTACCGTAGCTATATGGAGGTAATCTGATTTTTCGCGGTCATAGTAAATAATAAATTTAATGCGTTTTGAAAAGTTAAAACAAACCATTTCCATTGTCGGTCACTGAATTGAGTATTACAAGTCCTTTCACTGATGTATTTCCCTTATTCCAGCTTCTCCTGGAGCATCTGGAGTGCTTGGTGTCCCGCCACGAGCGCTCCCTACGGATGACCGTTGTAAAGCGACAGGCCGCCGCCCAGAGCGGCGTCTCCAGCGAGGTGGAGGTGCTCAAGGCGCTCAAGTCGCTGTTCGAGCACCACAAGGCGCTGGACGAGAAGGTGCGTGAGCGCCTGCGCCTTTCCATCGAGAAAAACAACATGATGGAGGAAGAACTGAGCTCCGCCAAGGAAGAACTAGCCCAGTACAAGGCGGGCGTGGTGCCAGCGGGTGCGAGTGGTGCCGGTGGAGCGGGGAGTGCCACAACCGCAGCCGGAGGTGGAGGCGCCGAGAACGGGCTCAAAGAGAAGGTGCGTTCCCACATTGAAAAGCATTCAACCATGTCGGTCATAAAATGTTTTTGATTTCTTCCAAAACTTTAGGTATCGGGAGTGGGTGGACCTGGCGGCGTCAATGGCGAGGCGAATGAGCTGAATGACTACGCGGCCAAGACCCACGAACTGCAAACGATCATCGAGAAGCAGGTGAGAACTGGCTCTTCCCAGTCTGCATTTGATAAAAATGTTTTGAAAAACCTTCTCCTCTCTTTTAAGACCTCGGAACTCTCGCAGTGGCAACGGCGCGTCTCTGATCTTAACAACAAGATCAGCGAACTGGAGGAGAACATGTCGCGCGTGCAGAAGGATCATTGCAAGGCTCAGGACCAGTGTGCCAAGCTACAGCGAGATCTACGCGAAAATGTGGCCCAGAAGGAAGATCAGGTGAGGGAATAATATCTCTGTATGTTCGTAGGTTTTAATCAATACGCGTACTTCTAGGAGGAGCGCATTACCACATTGGAGAAGCGCTACCTGAATGCTCAAAGGGAGTCCACATCGTTGCATGATCTCAACGAGAAACTAGAGCAGGAGCTCAGGCACAAGGAGGCTCAGCTCAAGGTGGGTAAAAACAATAGGGAATTATTGCTGGGTTTATGGTAAAGGCGGGCAAAATATCTTAACTTATGTATATTTAAGGGGATCGATTTTTTTGATAATCAATAATAACAATCATAGGGGCACTATACAATGTAGATACAATTGTTTTTAAGTCACACAGAAATTGATTTGTCATTCATATCCAAATTGTATTGTAAATAGATGTAACATTATTACATCTGCTAGATTTGCAAAATATATCTTAAATGCTACAAAAAATGCTAATTTGCAATAGTATTGCTAGGGTAAATTTGCCCTATAATATTTGACAAAGAAATCGATCCGTTCTACTTTTATTTGTGCCCAAGCCTGCTCTCTCATTAAGCTCCCCTCAAGCGTGACTAATCAATTGCATTTACATACGCAACAAATCCCCCCGACAACTAATCGAACACTCCCGCCCCGAAAACACAAACCACCGAACAATCCATGCCACTTGATCAATGCCCAATCCGCATCAGCTTCACGAGGAGAAGATCGGGGCCATCGAGGAGAAGCTGGAGCTCTCCGAACAGAAGCTCGCCCAGCACGCCAAGCTGCAGCCTGACATGGAGGAGCAGCTGAAGGCACGCATGGAGGCATTGACTAAGGTAGGAAACAAGGTATGCACTCGAACTAATATGCGCGCCGGACAGGTTCCATATGACAATTATCAACAATTATTATCCCGTACAACCTCAACTCTGTTTTATGTAATGCTCTTTTCCTTTGCGTACTTTCCACAACAAGAAACCACCACCAACAACTTGAACAACAAGTCTTTCTCTATGTACTATACCTTCTATGTTTCTCTCTGTACTGCACCAGAACTTAATACTCTTACG